TCCCAGCATCCCAGCATCCCAGCATCCCAGCATCCCAGCATCCCAGCATCCCAGTATCCCAGCTTCCCAGCATCCCAGCTTCCCAGCATCCCAGTGTCCCAGCATCCCAGCTTCCCAGTATCCCAGGTACTATAATTGGTGCTGAGAAGCAAATAGGTGAGTCAGATAAAGCTCCTATTTTCAGGTGCCAAAGTGAAAGAAGCAAAGGCAAGAGAGTTCCAGAGGGACTCACAAGAGGAAGAAGTTTCTGCAGTCCAAGGAAGGGTAGAAAAAGGAAGCCACGGGGGGGTTAAAGCATGAAACTCCATGGGAAGCACCTCTGAGCAGGCTAGATTAGTGGAAGGTGATGAGAGGCTGAATCCTTGGTCGGCTGCTCCAACAGAGCCCATGGGGACATGTGGCCTTGGGGCAGGAAAGGGAGAGATGAAGTGGTCAAGATGCTTGAGTGCAGGCTGGAGTATGTAGAGGGCGCTGGAGGAGAAGATCAAAGATTAACTTGCAACTTAAAAGGTTCAGGGACACAGAGCCCGAGGCATCATTATTGCTGTGTTATATGTTCTCCTGGCAGTCCTGGGACCCCTCTACTTCCTCTTCTGCAGTTCTAACTTCCCCTTCCTCCCTATTCTGGAATTCCAAAAGTTGGCAACAACTAAGGGTCAAGAGAAAAGTGAATTTCCTGTTTGCAGATCAACAGCAGCACACAACCTATTCCTCTCAGTTCACTCTGACGAGGCACCGTTTATTTAGATAATGCGTTTATTATCACAGTTCCACTGTTTCCCATTGAGATAGATGTGCAAATCAAAGTGCCAATGACTTGCTTGCACACATTAACTGTAGGGAAGGAATACAAAATTGGACATATTAGATTATTTTGGCGTTAAATTCAATGTTTGCAGCTTCCCGTTGTTCTCCATCATCCCCTTCTCCTACAAATCAATTTACAAGAGTTTTGTTGGAAATAATACTTAGTAGCAAGAGCTGTGGGTGAACTCAGCTGCAGTGAACATTCTGTTACTAGAAGACAGGGAGGCTGAGGAGGTTGCATTTCCTTTGCTCTTGTCAGAGTAGCTGTGTTGAATGGGTCTCCTATCTCCTACTCTTAGTACTCTGTGGCCTAGGGCAAGAACACAGATAATGTGCCTGCACGAGCAACACTCTAGTACTTATTTACATGCAAGCATGTGTATATGTTCATGTCTATGCAGTTACACATGTGTGTGTCCATGTACGTGGAAGCCAACCTCAGGTGTTCCTAATGGGTTATGCACCTTGGTCTTTGGGACTGGGCCTCTCACTAGGGCCTGAGGCTTGGCATTTATGTAAGCTGGGCTTGCAGACCAGTGAGCTCCAAGAATCCACTTGTCTCTGCCTCCCTTCCCAGGCCTGGAATTACCAAGCAAACATTATTATATCCAGTTTTGTGGCATGAATTAGCATGTGGAGTGTATGGGTTCTGTGTGGGCTGGGTTCCACTGAGTTTCAGTTTCCACATCTGTTCAATGGGGTGACTGTTGCTCTCTGCTCACTTAACAAGGAGGTAATTTCCCACACGTTGTTAAACGTGGGGCTTGTGGTATCCTGACCTTGTCCCAGTTTGCTAGCTCTGTGACTTGAGATTTCTTGTTTATCACACTTCTTTCACAGGACTGGTCTTGTAGATTGTGGGTGTGGGTGTGTGTGCTCAAGTAGTTAACTGTGACCTTGTAGGTTCATAGTTTGCTCAGTGCCTGCAGTATATAGCAGTGACTATGACTCATTTAAAAGAAGACATTAAAACAGGTGAATGTTGGAGGGTCAAGAAAATATGATCAGGAAGAGATTCAGAAAAGGTAACAGCTTTAGGGAAAGTAAGCTTTCTTTCTGTGGCTTTCCCCATCATGCTTTTAAAAATGGGTAAAATGGGCAAATGAGTTGCTCAAACGTGCAGGAGGGTCCTAGGACCAGCTCTGCTCAGGTGACCCCATTTCTCTTCACTTATTATGGCTCCCACAGATGACCACTCTGGACTAGCCAGGCCTTGCTCAATGCTGCAGGCATAGTGTGCAGTTAGCACCTAGTATGCCATCTCTCTCTCTGCCACCCCTCCTGCTGGCTGTCGATGGCCTGGGCTTTGTGAGTGGCCCCTTGCTGCTCCTGTAGCCCTCCTTGATGCCTGTGACAATCTAATGAGAGCTCTGGGTTGCCTGGTAGGACAGGCAAGACTGCAGTGGCAACATTTCTTCAGCTCCTGATAAATCCTCCAAAACTTCTTTTGTAGACAAGCTCAGCATGGAGGTTCTCTGATGGTGACCATTGGAAATGGAGGAGGAGAAAGGATGGAGGAAGAAAGAGGCCAAGAGATGCTGTGTAGATATCTTTCATTCTTCTTCCTCTAACGGAAGCCCAGGGACTACACTGCTGTGGTACCCAAACTCCATCTTGTGAGGACCTGAGTTTAATCACTGGTACCTACGCAAAAAATCTAGACATGGTAGCTCAAGCTTGAAATCCCAGAGCAGAGACAAACAGATCCCCGGGGCTCGATGGTCAGACAGCCTAGCTGTGAAGAATCCCTATCCTACACCCACTGTTTTCAGCTTCTCCGTATATCCATCTTCCTTATAGCTGTTGCTTGTTAGGTTGTGGAGTTACATGGACATAACTTGTAATCCCAGAGCCTCCTCTTAGCTGATGGGACATTTATATATCCACAGCAAAGAATGTGTTTAATATTAACAGGGTCCTTCTTGTTGGAGAGGTTTGCCCTTTCCTTTGTAGTCCTGTTCAACTTCTGTCCAGACGTGTATGTGTG